GTGTGCGGGGCTGGCCCTGTGCCCCTGGCACTGCTGCCCCCACAGACACCCCCTGCTCTCTGCAGATGGACAAGGACGTGAGGGGAAGGGACGAGCACCTGCGCCAGGCCCTGCCCTACCTGCAGAGCCCACAGGAGCCCCTGCGAGAGGCGGCCATCAGGTTCATGGGTGAGCCCCAAGGCCGCGGTCTCTCTCACCCCGCTGAGCTCGGCCCCAGCCCCGGCTGCTGCAGCGGCAGCAGATGCGGCCCAGGCTGTGCTGGGGAGCCCCGAGTGCCCTGGGGCTGCTGCCCCCTCTGCCAGCCGTGCCCTTGGGGGTCCCCCTGCGGGGCAGCTGTGCCGCTGGGGCCCTGACACACTCTCTGTTGCCAGGGGTCGCCGCCTGGCACATGAAAGACCTGCAGCCCATCATGAAGGGTGAGTGAGGACAGCGGGCTCTCCCTGGGGCTGCCGGGGAGGAGCACAGACCCTGGGCAGGGAGCTGCAATCCCTGCTCCCATGCATGGGGCTCTGCTCCCTGCATAGATGAGGGATGCTGAGGGAAGAGCAGGGACACGTTTCAGGAGCACAGGGGGATTGGGGGCCAGCCCGTTCTGGCTCATCCTGTGTGCCCCTGCTCCCTCCTGGCCATAGCAAGAGCTGGCTGGGATGGCCCTGGCAGGGGGGCTCCTCAGGTCCCTGCAGATCTGGGCTCTCACCGTGGCTCCATGGCTCTCTCTTCCAGCCCTTGAAGCCATGAGCCAAGATGACTGCCCCTCCTTCTGCACCATGCGGACTGAATTCTTGTCCGCTTTTCGACGGGCAGTGACAATATAATCTCCTCCATCGACACACCCAGCGTCCCTCCAGCAGCACCGACGACAGGGACGCGGAGCTGGAGCTGCAGCTGATGCCCAGCTGAGCCAGTCAACAACACCACGCAGCTCCTGGACTCACCATCCCTATGGACAGCCCCTCCCCTCTCCTTCGTTCCCCTCCTCTCCCCTACATTCCTTTCCCCTACCCTTGCTTTCCCTCCCCTTCCCTCCCCTTCCTTCCCTCCCCTCCCCATCCCAATACTCCCCTTCTCTTCCCAAACCTTCCCTTCCCAAACCTTC